TTTCTATTAGTGCTAGCTGCTGCTTATGTCTCTCAATGCCACAATCAGGGTATTTTTGATATCTCATATTACCCTAATCGCCAAGAAGTATTCTCCAAACTGATTAATTCCAGAATGATTAAAACATCCTATGCAATTCATTTATTGTTGCTGCAGTTAATTGAATATTTGATTATTTAAAGGTGCCCTGATTATTTCCTAAGATATGTATTTATCACCAGGCAGATGATCTGTGTGTGGGCTCTCTGTGGCTACATGGGGTGGCAGCCTACACTGTCACATGCGTAGAGGGTAGGCACTTGTGAGGGCTCTCAGTCAATTCACCACCTGCCTGACGTGTGCCTGCCTTCCTAGCTAGCCTTCAGAAGACCACATTTGTGCCCAGCGCGAGAGGGTTTTTTGGGACCAGGAGTGAGAATAGCACAGCCTTGCTTTCTGCTCCAGGAGAAGGGGTTATAGAGGGGGGATGCAGAAGGATGCTGCCGCTCTGAGTGGCTAACTTGCGCTCTGTGGACTATCTGAATACTCAAGAGAGGATTTAAAGAGAAGAGAAGGTGGCTCCGGAATGAAACAGCAGTTTGGCAACTCATCGGATAGCAGTTCTAATCCCGGTATCACCACTAGCTCTCTTCCCCAGTCTTCTCTCACACCTGTCTGAGTGAATCCAGAATTACTGCAAGAGGGGTGTGCGTCAGAGAAAGAGAGACAGAGAGAGAGCAACTGCTCACAATTTGGGCTGAGCCATAGCCTTAGTTCAGCTTTCTTCCCCAGCGCAGCTCTGCAGGGAGCTCAGAGACAGGAGTGGCTTCAGGTGGCCCCACCACTTCTCAGCCATGTCAAGTTCTTGGTCTCTCACTCCTGTGTGGAGTGAGGACTACAGTCAGGATCTCGGTGGCTGGGAGCTTCTGTCAGATGTGACTCTGTCCACAAGCCCGGTAGGTACTGTCTCCTGGACACCTAAATCATACCTCTGTGTGATATTGTCAGTATTGTCTGTTTCCCTTGTAAATGTTTGTCTTCCCTAATTTCTGTGGCATCTTAAAGGCACAAATTATGTTGTCTTTAGTTCTTTTTTTTCATTTTTATTAAGGTATTATATGTGTATATATCTTACCAATTTCCCCCACACACATACATACCCTCCCTCCTCAGAATTTTTCGTCCATTGGTTATGCTTATATGCATGCATACAGGTCCTTTGGTTGATCTCTTATCTCCCCCATATTTCCTTACCCTTCCCACTGTAATTTCACAGTTTGTTTGTTGCTTAAATACTCCCTCTTGGCTCCATCCTGAGCACAATGTAAATTTAATTCAGATTTGCTGTCTAAAGAAATAAATGGAAGAACTGATGAATAGGTTAAGGGGTGAATGAATGCCATCCTATTACTCTTGTCAGGATTACCTTACAATGTATATCCCAGTGGGTCTCTAATTGTTTCTTTTCCCACCCCTTCTAGACATGTAACTTGGAAGGAAAGAAGCCAAGTTTCGTAGTTATTTGTATTAGCAACCCACAATACCTCACACTTTCTAGGCACCTAGAAAATACTCGCCGGTTAATTCAAACACACTTGCAGTGGAAAAAATATGTGTGGCTTGAATGTATTTGTCTGGCAGTGTAAACAGCTATAGGGCAAAACTAGATGAGTTTGTGGAACTAATGGCTCCATGTGAATGCTTGATTCCATTATTTCCTTTAAAAAATTCTGAACACTTCATGTGGATGCATATTTATTTTGCTGCCCTTGTCTGTAGAGTTCTTCCCAATCCTGAGTGCTACCAACTGCAATAAGTCATTATTAAATTTCTTATAAAGCCCCAGAGTCCACAACTCTTTCTATTTTGACAGCATTCCCCCAATAAGGAAATGGATATTCATAATACCAGGTGTAGAGATGATATTTGCAGTTGACAAGAGTGAGTCAAATGTTACCTTGAAAAGACAAGAAGATTGGACTTAATAATAAAGCAGTAAGAAGAACGGGACAAGGGGAACAAACCTGACTCATTGTGTGGGGCTTTGTGGGTTATAAAGCACATTCACATTATTGATTTCATTTGCTGTGCACAAAAACCAACCCTGTGAGATTTTAAAGGAATAGGTATTGTTATTACCATTATTTTATTTTATTTTACAATCGGAAATGGTGGAATTTTAAAGAATTAATGTTACAAAGTCCAGCTCCTTGGTGCTAGGGCCAGGACTCTCACCAAACATTTATACTTATAAATTTTGTGTCTGCATAATGCCAATATTTTTCCTCTTTAATTGAAAAATATTAATGTTTATGCATTTGTATAAAAAAGGAGAGCAAAGACGTCCTCATGAGAGTGGGCCATATATTTTTAGCCCAAGCAGACCACACTGATACAATGCAATATCAATATTAAAGATTTGGCTATAATCATTTTTTATATTGGTGTTTGGGGAAGGTATTCATTAGAAGTTTAAGAATTGACTTTGAAAATAGTTATTGGAGCTCTGAACAATGGAATGATATTTTATTTGCTGTTAAGAATGATCAGTTGAGTTCTGTAATCTTGTAATAGAACACTGTCTCCAAGTATATGTTCTGTAAGTATTAATTTTGTGCAATTATAATAATTGTTAATGGGGGTATTACAAATACTAAAAAACCCAAGAATTCAGTCAAGAAAATTAGGAAGGGCCGTGTTAAACAAATTGGATAGGGGTCACAGAACCTTTAATTTGCATCATGGATCTCCAAGAGGCAGATAGATTGCAGCATTTCTCGGTTATTTGGACATGCACCTAGGAAATACTCACTGGTTAATTCTTTCATTTGAAGAACTAGTGTCCATAGGATGATCTCCTTTGTAGCACTTACCACAGTTAAAGTTGTACATTAACTATGTGATTCTTCATATCTGCCTTCCTCTTGAATCTGCAAACTCCACGAGAGAAGAAGCTGTTTCCTTTTATTTCCTATTATATCTGGGCCTACTGCAAGTCTAGTGACACAGACTCTGGCCCTCAAAAATGTTTGCTAAATGAAGAGATAAATTAACAAAGAACTGTGTTAGGCCACCTATAGTTCCCTAACAAAAATCTGCATTTAAGTTTCTTGACGATGTGTGCCCAGCCAACTTTTTTAGCCTTTCTTTTTATTGTTCTTATACTCAGTATTAGAATATGATTATTCTTATAAGGGTGACTGTATAATTTATCATCCAAACTGGGACATTTTTAAGGTAGGAAGAGGATACTATCAATTAATTATGCCAGGGTAACCCAGGCTGGATGGCCATTCATTGTTGGTGGCTCTTTCTCAGCCTGCCTCCCCCACTAGGGATTTTATGCTACTCAGAGCAGGTAACTATACATGGAGAAGGAATTCAAAAATATTAGTTGACATTAATGCATGCACAGTAGCAACGTCAATGCTGTTAATATTTGATGATGATTTTAACATATATTTTAACTTTGAGGGAAACTGGATCCATGTTCTAGTCCCCATTTCCTGAAATATAATTATATTCATATTCAAATGTGTCAGAATAACTAAGGGATTATGACTTAATTGCCCTGTAAGAGGCATGAAACATGTGGACTCTGTGGAAGTGCTCCCTGCATAAAACCAGCCTTTTATGTCCCAAGGCAATGAATCAAAGAGAGCAAATATTATATTTACTGGAACTGCAGAGAGGTGGAAATGATCAGCCTGCCCAGACTGCAATTCCAGGCAGGCTGAAGGTATGAAGGAGAGTGATAAGAATGTTGGGGGGATGCCCATACCTGCACAGGTGACATCATGCCCAGAAAACCTTTGTCCAGGTGGCTCTCAGGTCCTTCTTTGTACATTGTTTTATAGCTGGTGTCTCACTTTGGTGTTTGGATTCTTGCTTTCATTATGGAGCCCCTGGAGGAAAGGGCCAACTGCCAGACATGGAGTATGTCCTCAGTACATTTCTGCTAGTTAATTGAATTTTGGTTGATTAGAAAGTTGTCACACCGGGAAAGATGGCTCAAGGGATTAACTGTGTATGTGTAAGAGTCTAAGTGCCAAGGCAAGCATGCAGTTTACATAGGAGTTTTACCCTATGTTTTCAATAAGAATTGTAGGCATCTGGATGGGCTCATAAGTTCAAAGAGAACTTAATATAATTGTAGAAGTGTTTCATATAGACCTCGTCTTTTAAAAATCTGTGATTATGAGTAACACACTAAACTGTGTCAGAAGGTCAAAGAAACCTTAAAGATCAGGAAGTTGAACTCTTTCTTTGAATACCAGTAGATGAGTAAAGTGAAGTCTGATCAATGGGGAAGGATGATTCAGTGTCCAACAGCAAATCAGTGACAGAATGAGGCACTCGCTTTCTGCACCTTGCACTGTGGTCTTACTGTTTCATTGAAGTAAAATATGAGATTTTTGTAGATTCCTTGTGCTTTGTATATAATAAGGGAAAACATATTGATACCTATATTTATTTTAATTTTTTCCTAAAGAGAAAAAGCATTATGCAATAAGCTTCTCTGAAAGTAACTAGATTGTGCTTAATTTTTTTAAATACATTTTATTGATTTTTCACAGAGAGGAAGAGAGAGGGACAGAGAGCTAGAAACATCGATGAAAGAGAGACATCGATCAGCTGCCTCTTGCACACCCCCTACTGAGGATGTGCCCGCAACCAAGGTACATGCCCCTGACCGGAATCGAACCCGGGACCTTTCAGTCTGCAGGCCGACACTCTATCCACTGAGCCAAACCGGTGCCGGCAATTGTGCTTAATTTTTAAAAAAATATTTTTTATTGATTTTCCACAGAGAGGAAGGGAGAGGGATGGAGAGCTAGAAACGTCGATGAGAGAGAAACATCGACTAGCTGCCTCCTGCACATCCCTTGGGGATGTGCCCACAACCAAGGCACATGCCCTTGACTGGAATCAAACCTGGGACCTTTCAGTCTGTAGGCCAACGCTCTATCCATTGAGCCAAACCAGTTTCAGCTAATTTTTTAATGTTTATTTTGTTTTAGATAAACCTTCCCAGTGATCCAAGCTGTGTTGAAGAAATCTTGAGGGTGAGTTTAAACCTTTATTTCTGTGCCTTTTAATAATGAAACAATATATCTGCTTAAACTGTTTAAAGTAATTACTGTTCTGTTTCCAGGAATATAGCTTCAAGACCTTTCTGCTTATATCTCCTGTCTCATTTCTTACCTGTCATGCCAATCCTTTAATCAAGCTAGTATCCTAATCTCACCAACCTTCTATTCTGTTCTGACATCCTTATGACTCTTTCTTTGGAGTCTGGATGGACTCAACACCTGTTTAAGGAAACTTTCCCTGTTTAAACATCTTTCCTCAAATTTTTGCCTTTCTGCTTTCTGGGATCTCAAGACAATGTCATTGCTGTATTCCACTACATTGTTGATGGCACATGGTTATGAAAATTGTAGCCTATAAGGAAGGAATGAGATGTGGAAGCAAGGATGGGAAGAGAAACAAGAATGATGGCCAGTGAGAAATGATATTGATGGTAGTGAATCTGTGCATGAGAATAGCATGGAGGCAGCAAAAATTTACAAATGGTGGCACTAAACTCTCCCAAATTAATTGATTAACCAAAAGGAAAAACCAAAGCCAAGCCAGAAAAATGTATCTCCTGTCTCTGGCTTTTTGCATTATAAGGCAATATGGTACATGAAAAACAAGTGGCCAGTCCTGCCTCCATTATTTGTCATTTCTATGATTTGTACAGATGACTTCATCTTTCTGAATCACCCTTTCTTTTCTGTAAAACAGGACAGTAATACCTGTCCTTATTCCCATATAAACTGCCAAGTAGTAAATGAATGCTTTTTATTATGATAATTTATCACTGTGACCAAGAGGAAACCATGTAGGATTTCCATTTGGGAAAGAATTTGTATGACAGTTAAAATTCTGTACCCCCTTTCCTCACTTACCACATTCATTCCAATTCCCCCTGAGACTACTCCTGGTAACTGCTTCTTAGAAGTTCAGTTTTTTTAAATCAAACCCTGCAAAATCACAGCCAAAGGAATAATAAAGAGCAGAAAACTGTTTACTACCAAATTGAATAGCCATGTGATTTCAACTTTTGTGGATATTCATATACCTTTTTAGCTAAAAATCATTGTTAATGATTATTAAAAAGGAGTCCTATCACTCTGATCAGAGATGAGACTATCTCAACTATGGATATGCTGGCTACTTTTATAAAGTAAGAGACCAGGAACCCCTTAGTAATCTTTCCTTGGGATCCAAGGGTCTAAGTGTGGGGTGGTCGACTGTTGTGAAATCCATGAGTGTGGTGTACTCTGGGAACCCAGTCCCTTGCTCTTTCCCTTTCCATTGGGTGAACAAAGATACAGCAAATATACAAAATCTTTACTTGTGTGATGGCTGTGTTCCTTTAAGGAACATATTACCCTGGTCACTACAGTTGTCTTGTTTTTCCAAGTGATATCAGTGGTCTTTTATTAACTCCCAAAGGAATGCCAGACCCATTTCAAAAATTACTACCTAACCTGTCACAATTGAAATCTCTACGTAAGAGCAATCTGTCGCAGGTGCCTCGGTGGCTCATACAGTGACTAAGTGAGAGGAGCAGGTGAGCACCTGTCAGGCTGGCAACTCCATTCTGCAAGAGAATCCACTTAGAGAAAGAGATTGTCACATGGAAAGAAATAAAATCAGGTTTTTAAATAAGTTTGAAAAAGCTAACATCCTTTGAGTGAGTAAAATGTATTTTTCTGTTGTTTGTATAAGAGAATCTAGTGAAATGTCTTTTCTTACTTTTTTGAGGGGCTATAGGTTATATAGAAATCTTTTTTATCTGTCTTTATTGATTTTAGAAAGAGAGGAAAGGCCATAGCCTGTTTGTCTCGATTAATAGAGCATTGGCCCATGGACTGAAGGGTCCGGATTTGATTGTGGTCAAGGGCATGTACCTAGGTTGCAGGCTCCATACCTATCCCTGGTTGGGGTATGTGCAGAGGCAACTAATCAATGTGTCTCATTCACATCAATGTTTGTCTCTGTGTGTCTCCCTCTCCTTTCCACTCTCTATAAAAATCAATGGAAAATATCCTCAGATGAGGATTAACAACAACAACAAAAAGTAGAGAGAGAGGAGGGGAGAGAGAAATAGGAGGAGAGAGCTGCCTCCTGAATGTCTCCTACCAGGGATCAAGCCCATAACTTGAGCATGTATCCTGACTGGGAATTGAACCAACCCTTAAATGCTAAGACAACTCTCAACCAACTAAACCAATTCTGCCAGGGCTATAATTCTTTACTTTAAAAACACAAACACCATTAATGAGTGGGCTTTTTTAAATTGAAGAATGACATATTTAATTTACCATATTGGAATAAAAATAAGCTTTCTGAAGTTTATGTCCTAAACTTTATTACTAATTCTTAAACTTTTACAGACTGCATTTCATGGAACAACAGAGTTCTTACTGTATATTTTGTTATCACACATTCATATTTCTATTTCTTTTGGATGGCTCTACAATCTCTCTCTGTCACTGTTCCCCATCAGCCTCCTTCTTGGAGGGAGTACCTTTATTATTTATCTCCAACTCTTTCTAACACTCTCAATGCTTTGCAAACTAAGCATTGTCCAGAGCAAGTAAGGTCATTTTCTCTTCCTTACTGAAATGGAGTTATGCAGAGGAAGGAGCCAAGAGCCAGGAAGGACTGGCCTCTAGTTGCTCATGACATTCCATCACTGCCTAGTTGTGTGGCTTTTCAATCTTTTTTTTAAATTTTATTTTATTGATTATGGTCTCACATCATTGTCCTTAATCCCCTATTCCCATCCCAACCCCTCCCTAGATATGCCCTCCCCCCTAACCCGTTGTCCATGGCTACTGGCTAGGCCCATATGTATGCACACAAGTCCTTTGGTTGATCTCTTCCCCTTACCCCCATCCTCCCTTACTTTCCCTCTGCAGTTTGAGAGTCTTATCGCTGCTTCTCTTTCTCTGGGTCTGTTTATGTTGTTCATTATTTCCTCTAGATGTGTGAGAACATGTGATCCAAGAAATACCCTTGTAAGAACCTAAACTGCAACAAGCCATAATTGTTATGCCGAGAGGCAAATGAATCAGTCTGTAGTGAGTTCCTTTCTGGGCCAACAGTTCTTTGCCAGATAGTTCCAATTCCAATTTCAATGCCAGATAGTTCCTTATGTGTACATGCCAGCCATTTTATTTCAGATCTGGTTGGTGGACAAAATGGTGGTAATGCAGGTCCGCCCGTCTCTGGTTTGGTCCTGGGCATCCATCAGCAACCCACAGCTGCTGTCTGCTGGTATGCTGAGGCGTCATCAGCATCTTCCATCTCTGAATTCTGTCTCTTCTGTCTTAATGGCTGGAGCGCATCTGTCTATTCCTCTCTGTTACAGGATTCCAGATGGTCTCGGAGTTGTTTTCTGAAAATATACAAACACATTCTTGACCAAAAGTTAATAAAGGGATATTTTCTTTAAATTTGATTTGGGATTCTTTTCCATCCCCCCCCCCCCGCAAAATGATTTTCCCCTGGCTTATTTTGTCACCATGTGTGTGTTTTCATGGGTATCTTGCTATTAGTGTTTCGAATGAAGGTTAATTTTGTAAAGCACAAATTTTTTAGATGTAAATTATTCTCAGGATATTTTTTCTTACATTATATTCTTCCACTGTCACCTCCTTTTTTACTTTAAATAATAGGAAACTTTTGGAAATTTCATACTGTAGTCTTGATAGCTTTTACATTTTAACTTATTTGTGCTACACTGTGACTACTTTAGGTTCATAACATGTGCAATTTTACTGTGGGATGTTCTGCCAATAAGAATTTTTGTTCGCCCTTTAGGAACAGCTCTTTGAACAGTACAATCAGTTTGGGTTTTTTTTTTAGAATATTCATTTATTTCCACTAGCCACATTCCTTTCCTCTGAGAAAGTGGCTACCAATCATCTGTCATACTTAACACTCTAGCATCAATATAATTTACCATGTGTGTATAAGTGGAGTTATTTCCCTTCTTGAGAAGGGCCAGAGCATTCCTGCTGCTAGGCTGGACTTGGATATTAAAAACCCACTTGCCCACATCATGGGTATGAGACCTCTCAAATAAGTCTTGTTGCAGTGAGAGGGCAGCTGAAAGCAAGGGTTATTCACCTTTCCACCACAATATCCACCTGCAGTGAAGGAATCTCTAAAGTGTAAACTCTGTTTGCATATGTAACATGGAGATCTCAGTATGTTTGCTCTCTCGATTTTTCCAACCTCCCTGATTCCCCTTTTTTTTCCTCTATAGCACTGCAGACAAATGTATGCAAACCCACTTCATTTAACATAGGGAAAAACTTGCTTTTATTAAAGAAGATCAATACAAATTACCTCTCCCCAACTCTCAACCCATCAGTGTCCTGGCAATGGAAATGCTTTTTATTCCCCCTGTTTCCCACACAAAAAAATGCTGTTCAAATTCAAACCAGTTGTCTTTCTCTGAAAGTTTCTCTTACCATTACTCGATAATGGGCTCAGCTTCCCTTCAGAACAGCACTTCCACTTCTGGTTTGCTTGCACTCCAAGTTCTGTTACTAGGCTATAGCCCACCTTGTCTGGTCTTCCAGAGCCCACTTCACCCAATATAGCAAACTTATTTCCCTATAGCACAACTGGCTTTCAAAGCACTTGAACCTTGTTATCTTATTTTTACCATAAGAAGCATGTTAGTTCCTTACTATATCAGGAAGTGTAGACCCAAAGAGGTTATAAATGACCTCTAGTCTAGGGTGAGGCTAGTATATGGCAAAAGAGAAATAGAACTCAGACTTCATTTTGCACTACACCTTATTCACAAACCTACAGCAAGAATCCTTTGATTTAATTGCTTAAATTGCTTAAATTCCAATTCTGATAATATATGCAAAGGAAATAAAAGCACTAACTCAAAAAGAGATTTGTACTCCCATGTCCACAACAGCATTATCCACAATAGCCAAGACATGAAAACAACCTAAGTGCCCATTAATGGATGAATGGACAAAGA